TCGTTTTAGACTATCAACTAAGAATTATTAAATAAATATAATAATTTATAATATTAAAAGACATTTATATTTAATAATTTTAATTATATAATTTGATATAATATAGATTATACAACACCTTTTTTATATAAAATATATCCTTTATTCTTAAAATTAGCTCTATTATTGATATCCAATCATGCAAAAATTGGCCCCTCATAGATCTTTACACGTCATCTTGTTGACCCTTCGACAAAGATCATGAACCTAGCTAGACCGTCCAAGAAATTATTCCCTTTATTTTCCACCATTTCTTTTAGTTGATTGAATAGTAGAGTAGTGCCCTAGGAAAGTAACATTACATGCCTTCTTCATTCCAAATTTCAATTTCATATCCACCAGACATGCATGGGTTCCATATAGCTTTTTAGATTCTTCTTTTTCTAAGGGAGGAGTAGGGGAGGACGGGGTCCAACACCTAACATCGCAATACTATGGTCATGGGAAATCAAATGACTTTGGGGCATTACCACCTACTCCATTACAGTGGGTGGTAATTTTAGCCATCCATGTTGCGAGGCAGAGATGTTAGAGGACCATCCTTTATGTTGGCAATTGATTAATCTTGTTGATCATTGTGTATAGGTGTGTACGGTCCAATTAATGCAGATCATCCCATATTTCAAATTCTGTAACGATTTGTATTGAATTTTAGGACAAGCAGATAAATCAAACCCAACAGGCGCTAATTGAATTGAACACAAGGTGTTTGATTGTTCAATCATGTTCATATTCATTGGAGCTTTCTTCTTGAAATGGGGATAGAATATTATTCTCAACTAGTAAATAGTGATGTTTCAATTCAAAAAGAAAAGAAAAAAAAAAAGGTTGGATCATAAAATTACGAAGAGAAAAATTAATTTTAAAATATGTTTACAAAACACTTTAACTAAAAAAAAAAACAAAAACCAAAGAATGGTGATGGCCTGCCTTTCTTATTTATATTATGCGTCTCAGTCGGCATGGTGGGAGAGGGATGCCGCTGGGCTGGTTGGTCCAATGACAAACCAATTGGGCTTGCTTCACTGTGGACCGCCGGACCGTTTAGCGTTAGCCCTTAGATTCCTTTTTCTTTTCATCTCCACAATCGTGAGATTTCCTTTATAAAAATAAATAAATTATTGTGATCAGATAGTATGGATTTAAAAAATCATGATATTTTGACAATTAAAATATTATAAATAAAAATAAAAGACTTAAATACTTTATGAATCAATATATAATAAAAAAATTATTAAATGTATTTAAGTAATTTCATAAATAATTTTAATATTTTAAATGTCAAAACGTAAATGATATTCTGGTATTATTTATACAACAAACCTTTTTTTTGGTTCACTAAGTAATGTTATAGATCAAATGACATTTTTTTTCTTTTTTTAAACTCTTTACATATTTTAAAATTCAAATTTAAAATTTTTAATATAAAAATTTATGTTTTTAACTATTAAAATATCCTAAAGAACTTATACAACACTCTTAGAAACTTGCTGCTTACATTGCCTTTTCACTTCAAATTCTATATTGACCGATCTGGTAAGCACAAAATTTGTTCTCAAAGAATTTGATCCCAGTAAACACATCGAATGAAATCACATTCCATATTCCTCCATGATATTTTTTTTGCTGAAAAGAAAGTGGGGAAGGAACTAGCCAAAGAAAGCAAATGGATTCCATGTGCAATAATTTTCATCAATCTCCCTCCCCGCATGCGATTTCCTTCCTTGTCACCTTTGAACGACTATAAAAATATTGATGCCGGTCCAGATTGTATAGACTGAATGATTACTCACAATTTAGCATTCAAAGGTCCCAGTCAAAACAATACAACTTGGTGTACCCTAATGGAGACATAACATCATTTACAAAGTACCTAATCAAATACCCACTTGTTTGATGTGTCCACTTCATAAGACACATAATAATTCATCTTGGAAATTGCTTAAATCAGTAAAATAAAGATTAAAACTACAGTACATCCAATATGATAGTGATTTCCAAACCTTAAGTGATTTATATGCACTACAACATTTTCTTACAATAAATCACATGACTCAAAATTCAAACATGGATTCATTTCTTGTCGTAGATGAAGCTTCTGAATGTGTCACCCAGCTGGTGATATTGTGCTACCCAAACCTAGAAGGCTCTGACATTAAACCATGTAATCATTTATGAGTTTTGACCATGCTCATTAAGTTAAAATATTCTATTTGAAACGAAATATTCTATTTGAAACGATCGTTTCATATAAGTGACATTCAATTTTGGATTAAAACAATTTATTTTTTGTGCGTTATGTATTTAAACTTCACCAAATCCCTTTATTCATTTTTTTTCTTCATTTTCCCAATTCACAAGTTAATAATTACAATTTGTTCAAAAAAAAAATATTCCACTTGGAAAATAAAAACCACACTGATCCAAGGGATTATGCAGTTGATGATGATATTGTTTTTCAATTCGAGAACAACATTTGTTCTAAATATGCTAGATCACACTTATACTAGATTTTTTTTTTTTTTTAAAGAATAAGAAATAACAAACTAAAACCAACTACAAATTACAAATATAATAAAGAGAAACGGCAGACTACCTAGATTAGTCTGCCGGACTTCTAGACCTAGATTATGGTTCCATAGAAGAAACAGAGCATATCTCTACTTCAAAGTTTCCAGTTCGAAAGTGGTTGCTCTTGCTTCTTTGTTCAAGTAAGATTCTGCACTTATAGATTACCCATTACCAAGTCACAACAATCCATTCTTGAAAGATTGCAAATTGGGGAACCTAAATCTGTGTTAATATTTACAATGGCTTGAGGATATCAAGAATCATCTCCTGCTTCCACCATCAACCCCCACACCCCACCCTCGTCTCCGCCTTGGGGATGCACTGAAAACCAGGAAAGAACTCCTCCTCCTACTCGTTGTAGTTGACCTCACGCTCCCTCCAAAGCAGGCGAACAAATTGCGGAATACCCTTCCTAATAATCCTCCGTTCTCCCTCCCTCTGCTTCCTCTAGACCCCCACGACACCCTTCTTGGCAATCCCCCGTTGCTAAACCCACCATCCATCTCTGTGTACACCACTGGAAGGTCCCTCTCTCCTCCTCTCCTCCCTCCGGAGAACCTCCCCACTGCGAATCCCCCGCCCGGTAACCTCCATATGGTCAATCCTACGGGCTCTTCTGAACCGTCGCCGTGTCCGTGTCCTCCGTTTTCCCCTGTGTCGGAAGGGAGTTCGTAGCGGCAAACTGGGCAGGAATTTCGCATTGAGAGCCAAGGAAGTATGCAACCAGAATGATATAAATGCTTACAGGGCATCTCTCGTGCTTCTGATCCCAATTCGAATGGATCCTTGCAAACTGCACAGAACAATTCTGTCTCCACGTGTGTGTCTTCGATCTCCACGGTGGGCATTGACTCCACGGCCGCCTTCGATGCCGGAGGATGCCCGTATCTGCTACTGTTGATCTCCACCGTTGAAAGCTGGTCTATGAGGCGGTCAAAACCCGACCCTAACAGAAACTCTGACATACTCGGCGGCAACGGCCTCAGCCCTGACCCTCGTCCATCGTCATAAAAGAGTTCAAAAGCCCGACCGTGTTCGTCTGAGATACTTGGATTTTCTGTTGGGCCATCGATCGGTCCTCCACCGGTACCCCGTAAGACGATGACCGGATTGAAGGTAGTTCGATCGCGGCGGTTGCGACGGAGGACGCGGGATGGGCTGCTCCCATCTGGACTGTTGATCATGTACATCCCAGCGGCCGGAAACATCCCACTGCCGCGGCCACTGCCAAAGAGGGAGCGCGGCGAATTCTCGATCTCTTCAATGAACCCACTGTTGCAGTCCGGACATGCGATTGAATCCCGGTTCCAAATCCTGACGAATCTGCTGCATCTGTAACACCAATACGATGATGCAGCCATCTTAGATCTGAGAAAAAAGAAAAACCCGAAATTTCAAGAAGAAAAAAAGTACCCTCCTGAAATAAAATCCGAATCTTTTCAATATCCTCTCTCCTCTTTTCCACTGTTTGGCGTAAGCGAAAATGAGAGAGAAAAGGAAAGAAAATTTACAGCGAAGGCAGCGTTTGGGAGAACCGAAAATCAAGGGGGAATATATAAAGGGTCAGATAAACGGCAAGACCGCGTTAGCGTGGTTGCTACGCTGTAACTTCCGGACACGTGAGGGGATTGATTGGATGGAGTAAAACGACGTCAGTATAAATCGTTGAAGATTAAAGATCACTAATATCCGGATAGACGAGCTAATTTAGTAGCTGAGAAAAGGGTTTAAAAGATTAGTGATTTTTTTTTTTTTACATTTGAATATAGATTATACAGGGATAACTTAAAAAAAAAAATTTTTTTTCTCCCCTCCACTCAATTGCTCAATTAAGTGATGGGTGATTAGTTGGCAAAACAATTCCGTAAGTACTCAAAGTCTCAAACTCACCACATTTTAGCAAATAAGCTCTTAAATTAAAAAACAAATAAATAAGTTTTTATTTTTTTTATCTTAATTATACAGTAAAAAATAATCATTTTTCATCTATTATCTTATTTTATCTGCATGTCATGTAATTCGAACTTAAAATTTTTTATTTTTAACAAAAAA